AGCAAGAGAGAAAGAGAGAGAGAGAGAGAGAGAGAGAGAGAGAGAGAGAGAGAGAGAGAGAGAGAGAGTAAGAGCGCGCGCGATACTGCAATTCATATAAGGCTTTGCAATTGCGGACATTGTGCCGTCTGTATTTAAATAAATTCCCAGCATCAAAGACATTTGCGTCTCGGACGGTGTTGCACGGCATAGGATTTACAAGCCAACAAAACAAACACGAAGAAACGCGCGGTCATTTTATTGCACTTGTAAATTATAGCCGTGATATACACACACATGACTATGGCAGAGCGCACACACTCTCGAGCACCCGTGCGTGCGTGCGTGCGTGCGTGATGAGTGCGTTTTGCGTGCGTACGTGCGTGCGTGTGTGCATGAGTGCGTTTTGTGTGCGTACGTGCGTGCCTGCGTGCGTGTGTGCATGAGTGCGTTTTGCGTGCGTACGTGCGTCCGTGCGTGCGTGCGTGCGTGCGTGCGTGTGTGCATGAGTGCGTATTGCGTGTATCATATGATGTGTTAGCGATAGTTGAGAGCCACTGCATCGCGGAATCCAAATTACGTAGTCATTATATTCATTAGAAATTACACATTTGTGTTTCGCATACTTGTGCGGTCGTGTGTGCCCTTGCGATATTTCGCAAGTGTGTTTTACATCTAACAATACTTCAATTTTTCGTTAAAACTCGCGTGCATATCCGATTAAAGACCAGATCAATGCCTCGCATGTGATAAAAACTACTACTAATGGTAAGTCTCTAATAGTGTGCTTTCGCATCGCATATGGTTATATTTCGAAGCACGAATACGCAACGCTTGCACAGATAGTGGACACAAATCAATTATTAATACGCGTAACATTCAAATTCGGCATGAATATAATTATAAGGCTATATAGGCGCACGAATAGCTGAGCTATCACGTTGCAAACAATGTATCATCCCGTAATATTCATACACACTGCTCTCATTTTCTTAATTAAATTACGTTGAATATTATGGTATCTTCCAATATACCCGCGCACTTTTGAATTACGAATTACGGAGCTAAATATGCAAGTGCTAACCATGCATGTACACTCGGCAGCGTAGAACATAGCTTTCGGCAACCGCCTCTGCAAACATATATGCGACAACGTAATCTGGTTTCGGCGCTTATGAATACGAAATTGATCAGATGCGATTTCATTTTTTTTCATTTATCTTGGAATCGTTGTTCACATGCCCAGTATAGCTAGCTAGCTATATCTCCTCGCTGCGACTCAGCTATTGACGGTCTGCGGATTGACAGCGTGGGACCATCGATGTACAACAAAACGCAATTTGCAAAGTCTGTTTTGCTCCGCAATGCGCTCCTTAGTGTAGCCGCATCCGTGGACTCTTCGCTGCAAGCTACTGATCAAACACAAACATTCACGATATACATATTGAAATGTCCCCACTGTGCGAAGATTCGGCAATGTTGGAGAGAAACTTGGCGCGTCATTTTTTCGCGTGCATAAATTCGAGATCGCTGGCAATCAGGTTAGCATGCAGGCGTCATACGCGGCATGCGCGAGAGAGATAGGGACCAGCATATACGCGTATATACGGAGCATTGTTAGCATCTACGCATATTCTCCCCACTGCTGCTCTTAACTGGGCATAGTTCTCGCCTTGTGCTCATAGTTTATTGTCGCTAATGGTTGTCATGGTTAATTTTCACCGATAGTTTCCGTAGTTTATTGTAACTACTGCTGTCCATAGTTTATCGTCACCTATATAACTGCTGTTAATGTTATATTGCCACAACTGATGTTAATGGTATATTTTCAATAATGAACGATGATGGTTTGTTATCTCCTAGGCTGCTCACAGTTTTTGCTACCAATACTGTTTATAGTATATTGTCAGCAATAATATTCATAGTTTATTGTCACTACATTGCTGTTAATAGCATAACGTCATCAGTACTTTCAACAGCTGCCGATTCCCACCATGATTGTTGACGCTCTATTGTCACCAGCACTGTTTACACACTATGTCACCATTCCTGTTTACACGCTATTAATTGTCACCACGCTGCACATAGCTGTGTTCCTCAGTGTAGAATGTGTACGGGCAGTCATCATCGTGGTGTTCAGCTGGTGACGATATCTGTGTGGATTCGCCGTCATCACGACTCTGTACTGATAAAGTAAAGTGCCTTCGGATACATTGTTGACAGCAAAATTGATATTTCCTAGAAAAAATGTTCCTCCGTGTTCAGTCGATGGTTCGGCTTTATGCAGCGATGAAAAATCCATGTAAATCATTTCTGAAAGCACTCTTGTCAGGCGTGTTAAAAATCAAGCTCAGGCGAAATTTCCGACGAGAAATCATCGATAAGAAACGCAGATCAATGCGACGCTGCGGCAAAACGAGAAACCGTTTGTTCTTGCTCAGAAAAATTAGTACAAATCTCTCGTACGATGACTGCGAACAGCGCTCTGCGGGCGCCGGTAGACCAAGTGCAACTTGTACGGCCTGACATACAAGTTAGCAAATATTGTTTCTTTTTTTGGCACACTATTGAATTAATTTTAAGGATTCGCTCTCCAAACATCGCGGCACAATAGAATTCTCGAAGTCGTTGACTTTGTGCGTGTACAGACAGCCGGGCAGATAAGCCGATCGTAAAGGAGAGCACGAACCTACGCCACACACACACACAGAGGGGGTGAGAGAGAGAGAGCCAGAAAGAGAGATAGAGAGAGAGAGAGAAAGAGAGATAGAGAGAGAGAGAGAGAGAGAGAGAGAGAGAGAGAGAGAGAGGGAGAGAGAGAGAGAGAGAGGGTGATAGCGAGATGGTTGGAGAGAAAGAAAACG